TTATATATATATATATATATATATATATATTGATTTGTTCCCTCCATAACGATAACAACAATATCAAGAAAAATTTCAACGTTTTTCTAGAAATTGTAAAACTTAAAGAATACCACATTATTAATTCGTTAAAACTTTCAATAAATCCTTGATATTATTTTTATTTATATGTAACCATCAACAAGAAGAGTATCCCAGAACAAAGAGAAAAGTGACTCAAATATTCTACCTCAGTTTTCAAGAATTACTTCCACATTGCTTTAATATTATGCTTCTTCTTTATCCTCATTCTCTTTCTCCACATTCCTGGGAACACTATTCCTAAAATCTACACTGATCTGATATATATTCATCTATTAACAGTGTTTTTTTTTGTGTAAGTGTGAACGTATTCTGAATAATAGTGGTATTTCTACCACGTTGACATATTTCGCTCTTGTATGTAAAACAAATAAAACAGTGTAATTTTGAGTACTAAATTAATAAATACTGACATTACCCTTATTCATTAAACACCGTATTTATTATAATATTAAAAATAATGGGAATGATTTCCGTGGTATGGCTAAGAGATAAATGAATACATTATACGCAAATAATTAAAGGTTTGTTTGTTTTCAATTATGCACAAAGCTACACAAGGGCTCTATGTGCTCTGCCTACCACGGGTATCGAAACCCGATTTCTAGCGTTGTAAGTCCGCAGACATGCCACTGTGCCACTGGGGGGCAATAATTAAAGGAGTAAACATTTAATTCGGTTTTCAAAATTACATCTCATTGTATTTCAAAAAAACAATTCTTTATATTTCACTTATCGTTATGTAAGCACTTTAAATTGTTAATAAATATGACTAATCAGCAGTTGAAAGATTCTTACCTCCAATGAGCTTTATCACGTGATTCATTACCTATATCACACTACAATATTAGACTGGAGATAATGTAGTAAACGGGTAAGGCTGTTAGAGCAAAACTCAGGAAACAACAACAACAACAAAAATTATCTGATAATTATCCGTATTTAATGCGTTTGATATATCGTTATTTATTGTGTGTTAGGTTTGGCATGTCCTGTCCTGCACAATTTTGGTGTTTCGCACCTTACTACAGTACCTCGTTTCATCTTCTGATTTGACTGCTTTTTCGTTTCGCTGTTTTGCGAATTGCTTTATTTTGATTGTTTTTTGTTATTTTTTTCGTATAATTGTGTGATAATATAACTAACTGGTGGCCGGTGGAAATTTTAATGGAAGTATAGGTTGCCAGCGTTATTCAAGTTTTGGATGCCAGACTAACTGAGCGACAAGTAATTATTCAGACCTTTAGTGACCAGATCTTAGATACTCTAGACAGTCTGTATTAGGCCATGAAATATTAAGTACACCTAGCGATAACCCTATATGTATAACACCGCTGTTAGGAATCACCAGTTCACTACTCAAGGATTCAATATGACATCAGTAACCATACGTTAAGAAATAAGACTTCATGAATATGGCTTAAGATTGAGAAGGCCTTCTTCTACCTCGCAATTGATTGAAAATCACTGCACCCTTCGTTTATACCTCTGTCGAGTTCAACAGAATTGACGATAATGCTGCTAGGTGTCAAAGTTTCACACTTCTGTCAGTGATCAATGGGTTCCTGTCTGGAAAGCTAGATGTGTAACGACGGGTTCAGTTCAATATCGTTGAATATGACAATTTTGATTGAAGTTAGGTTATGACGTGGGAAGACATCAGTGGGAATAGACATACAAATCCCAATGTGCTTGTCAGGCGTGCAACGTTATTTTGACGTGGTTTTAAACTCGGTTGTATGCCCTTTTGCTGGCGCGATCGAATCGTATTGTTCTGATGCAGGATAATGCTCAATGTCAGGATTCCGATGAGCTATGTATATTGCCGGATCAAGAGAACACAGATTAGGACTTATGTGATCGTCGCGTATTTCAATGCTTTAACTCTACACACAACCAGATCATAAAGCTTGGCGTTGCACTGATGGAGGAAAGAGACAAGATCCCGCATAAGGTATTTTGTCGATTAGTATGCACCTCAGATGCAAATAGTGTAACAATATCAGAAGCTCTTTTTGTCGTTACAAAATTTGACACTTCTAGTCAGATCCTAGTTATTTGTACTTCGACTATGAAAGCACTCGTGCTGCATGGGTTGTAACAAACGGTATGTTGTCAGTGAAACATGTGATTTTCGGCTATGTTATTCACTTGGTTGTAAAACATTTTCACCATAAAATCTTATCTTTTTTGAAGTAACTTGTGCTTATATTAAGTGAATACACATTGCATAATTATAACAATGTTTATTTTTGACGTGTTTTATTTTTCTAAATGTAGGACTTTTAATATAATGCATTCAAAATCTAAGGAACTCACAGTCCGAAAAGACATCACTAAGAAAGATTTATCTGATTCTCGTGTTTCCAATTCAACTTAATAATACAAATTACAAATGCTCAGATACATATTTTTTCCAACAAATCGTTTCATGAATTCTGATGACACCCAAAAGAGGCAACGTTTGACATGCAAGTCAGTATTTCGTTTGAAAAAAAAAAAAAACAACGAAAAATGTTACTATGCGAAGAAAAAAATAATTTACTTGCTAGTACCAAACTTTTTCTTAGGTCGATTTCGCCCCTTAAATATATAGATATAACGAAAAAACTATAAAAACATTCACTTCAAGACTCAGTCAGCTCACGTTACACGATCAATTAGAGTCAGGATTGAATTAGAAATCTCTGGATCGACATGCTTTGCAGACAAAGTAAAAATAAATATTTAAGCTAAAAGCTGAAAACCATTTTAACAGGTCGAATCCACTAGCAGGTTTGGTTTAATAGACAATTAGTATAGAGAGCTAACTATGAATGCAAATAAATGTTAGTGTCTTGCTGGTCAGTTTTTCAGCAAGAAATTTTTATCAATGATTCCATAAAACTAACTAATCATAAGGGCTTGCTAAACAAGAGAGTTACATTGTGTAAGTTCTTCGAAAAATACAGGCTAATTTAGTTGCACTTGGATACAAAGTATTATTGATCAATCTCAAAACACCTACGAATATTAATTAACCACATATCAAACAAAGTCTATAAAGAAACATCATTTAACTACGTCATTAACCAAGAAGCTAATGTCTTCAAACCCACCTAATAGATAACCAATAGGTAAGGAGAGCGTTATTCAGCTAATTCAAGAATCAAGAAACCGTTGTAATATCTTCTAACTCAGCAGTTCTCTTCTTTCTTTTCTTTTTTTGTCTGTTGACTACTTCGGCGGGACAAAATACCCCGAGGACCACTACCCCCATTTGTTCTGTTCTCTCATATGGCCTTAGCCGTGGCATTGTGCGTCAGTGGATTGCATTTGGGACCAGCCAACGAACTGCAAGCGGGCGTCGTACCACACTCTGAGAACCGTTGCTCTAATCATATAATAAGCCAAGATGGCGGCAACAGAAATATCCATTCATATTAATAAAATGACTGCTTGCAGAAAGTTAGTTTATTTGTTTGTTTCAGATAACCCAAGATGGCGGCAACAGAAATATCCATTCTTATTAATAAAACTTACTGCTTGCAGAAAATGAATGCAAATTTACATAAGTTATCCGTACATGGTTTTTTATAATTTTTGAATTTATAGATTAGAGTAGCTATCTCCAATTCCTGGGCCACTGAACGAATAGCGTGGTTTGTTCTTTATCCTTATAAGTTACCCAGTGCCCCAAAGTATGGAGCGTGTTTTTACTGGAGTGGAATGCGAATCAAAGATCATACGATACCTAGTAGGCAAGCTAATTGTTAAGCTATGTCTGGTTCAACTTGCAGAAATAAAACAAACCTGCAACAAATTTATATCGTCTAATTGCACCAGCATAGACTAAAATCAGTTAAGTAATTAATAGTAACAAAGAACCAATGTTGTCCAATGAGAACAAAGAAAATCAACAAAGTCAGTCTATGCAGCCCGATTACGGTAGTGAAAAATGAAGTAAAATCAAACTCTGCCGCTTAGTTGTAAGAGAAAAATTAATTCAAGCCAAACTATGCCGCCTGGAGGAAGTAATGAAAAATCAGTTAACACCAAATTGTGCCGTTGGTGGTAATAAGGGAAAGAGCAACAAGAGTGAATGAAACCGTTTGGTAGCAGCAAAATATCTTAGAGTCACGTAAGACCATTAGAAGAGAACAAAGCAAGTCTTCATAAGTTGTGTAAGTCGGTCTAATGACAAAAAGATAAACGAGCTAACGCCAAATTGTGTCACCTAATGGTAGAAAAGTGACATTGTAGTTATGTAAGATCATCTAGAATTAAACTAGAATATCTGATGATAAAAAAAGTAAAAATCAGCTAGAGCAAAGAACTATCTAATAACAGGAAATATTTTATACTCAAGTAAAACCCCTGAATAATGAAACAAACCCTCAAGTCCCAATAAAGGAAGTTTATGGCAAATCAACTAGAGCGAATATATATACCCTGGTGAAAGCAAGCTGAAATCAATTAGAGTCAATCCCAGACAAAGTAATGAAAGAAAAGAGTTATGAGCCTAGTAAGAACGTGTGGTGGTAGAAATGTTAGGTACGACTAACTGATAACAGTCTGTTTACTCGACTGAGTCAATAAACCCGTTTAGTAATAGCAAACTTACATTCTTAAGTTCTATGTAAGATCATCTAGAGAATACCAAACAATGAAATAAAATCGTAAAATGTTCTTTGAG